CATATGCAGATGATACAATCTTGCTTGCTGAAAGTGAAGAGGACTTAAAACACTTACAGATGAAGATCAAAGAGCACATCCTTTGATAACTGATTGGGTTATCTAAAAGGGGTATGAGAATGCGTCCAGGGAAACAGACTTCTTGGTAAGCTTTTGGGGGGCATAGGGCCTTAAGTGGAAGCCTGAGCCCCACCCAGAACTTTCAGAGGTGTAACATTCCCAATTGAAAAGACATGCAGACCAACCCTGAATGACTAGAGGAACAGAAGATACTTTTTGGGGTGGAGGATGGGGTGGGAAAAATAGACTGTTTGGCTGACAATATCAAGCAAGCTGTTTGCCTTGGAGCCGTCAAAGCAAGAAAAGTCAGCCCATCATGGTAAACCCCTTTCTAAGACTGAAACTCAAAGGGAACCCACAAACAGTGTGGTATACTTGCTGGCAACTGCCCTGTTCAACTTATGAGTAGAAGTGGGAGACATGCAGCAATGAAGACATGAGCTGAGACCGGCCATGTCCCATAAACATCCAATGACCTTGAGATGAGAAAGAGAAGAGGATGGATTGGCTGGTTTGAAGTTCAGGAAGATGTGTAAATTCCAGAGGCCAACAACACTGATTTAGCCCCTGGGGGCTAGAGTTAAGAGCGAAACGGCCAGCTGGTCTGAAGAGGGGAGAGGCATGCAAGATCTCCCAAATGTTCAGCTAGTACCCATTTGACGTAGCTTAGATGACTTGCTGACCAGAATTTGACCAGATGAAGACAAATAATTATGATACAGGGAACAAGCGTAAATTACTACAACCTGATCAACTGGACCTTTGCTTATGGATGAAGCGTCCCAAAATTCTTACCAAAAGGGAAAGAATCTTTATATCAATGACCAAGCGTGCCTCCTCAGTACACTGGGTTGATAGGGATGGGTGATTTAGACTTCAACTATCAAAATTGGGGGATTATAAAGGCACAAATTGGCTGGTTTACAAGAATTCATGAGGGTGCTTAGTATCAGATGAGGGGAGTAAGATAAAAAACCCACTGAATAGTTTTCCTCTTGTCTAGATAGGTCTGGTGATGAGGGGTACAAGATTTTATGATTCAATTGTGAGTAATTGTTATCAGGTCTAATGGCGATGGTCACAACTGTAAATGTAGAAGATGTGTAACTAAAAAGGGGGAGCAAATAATCTGTCATTTCAGGAACAGAGGACCCTAGGATCATCAAAAAGGAAGAGCTTGAAAGGAGCAAGGGATCCTAACCAGAAAATCTGAGAAAATAGAGATGGTGGCATAGAGAGAGAGCAGCAAAGGACTATAGTCCTTTCCCATGGACTGAGAAAGGCAGTGTTCCTGAAGGCAGGAGGCTGGCTTGCAAAATGTGACTTTTGGACATTTAAACGAATATATATTTTCAATGTGGTATGTGTACATCAAAAGAAAAAAACAGGTAATAAAGATGCATGGAGAGGATTATAATCATAACAATGATTTACTGAATGTAAAACTGATGTGCTGCCCTGTAAACCTTCACTCACTCAATTCACAATAAAAGGTTTAAAACAAAACAAAACAAAATTTTTTTTAAAAGTGTTTTGGAATAAATATGTATTGTAGATTTTGACATGGCAGCATATTAGATGATCTGGAATCCATATCATTTAAACAGTGGTTGAAAGGATTTGTTATAATGACTTGTAAATGAAAGGTATAGAGGATGATCATAGTTTCTTTCATATGTATGAAGGGATTTCACAGAGAATAGAAATTAGATACATGTTGTATAGGTTTAATCAGGAAGGATTAATTATAGGCAGTTAGAAAGAGGCAGATTTCATTTCAGTATAAGGAAGAATTCAGAATGAGAAACAGAATTGGCCCTTTCAAAAATCTGTTCCTAATTCTGAAGTGTTCATGAATGTTCAAAGGCCCTGAGGGAAAATGTGGACGGAAGAGGTGAGTGCTTCCAATGACACAACATTCAGGAGAATATTTTACAAAAGCATAGAATTTCTATAATAGTTGATTGCAAGTAAATCTAAGTAATATTATTCTTCTCTACTCATTTTCAAATTATAGAGTGATCTTTTAAAAATCTTGTAACACCCACCACTTGTCTGTCATTTTGTCATACTGTGGAGGCTTGCATGTTGCAAGCTATGTTACCGGCATTTCAGAGGCTTGCATGTTGCAAGCTATGACACCGGCATATCATAGCAAACATGATAGACAAGTTTCAACAAAACTGCCAGACTAAGACAGACTAGGAAGGGGTGAGTAGTTCACTTCTGAGGGACTGGGTAGTTGTGTGCCATTATGTTTGTTTGGATTTATAGTGACCCTGTATTGGGTTTCTGAGGCTGTAGATCCTTATGGAAGCAGAAAGTCTCATCTGTCTCCTGTGGCAACTGGTAGATTCAAACTATTGACCTTGCAGTTAGCAGCCCAACTCTTAACACACTATGCTACCAGGAATGCTAAGGGATTAGCCACTAAAAAGCTTATAAATGACAGTGGAACATTGTCTGATATAGTATCAGAAGATGAGCCCATATCAGTTGAAAAGCACTCAAAATATGACCAAAGAAGAGCTGCCTTCTCAAAATAGAGTCGACCTTAATGATGTGGATGCAGGAAAGCTTTTGGGATCTTTATTTACTAATGGGGCACAACTCAAAATGAGAAGAAACAGCTGCAAGCATCCGTTAATAATCGGAACATAGAATGTCCAAAGTGTTAATCTAGGAAAATTGGAAACGCTAAAAATTAAATGAAATGCATTAAGATGGATATCCTAGGTATTAGTGAGCTGAAATGGACTGCATTGGCCATTTTGAGTTGGCCAATCATATGGTTTACTATGCTGGGAATCACAAATTAAGTAGGAATGATCATCGTCAATGAAAACATTTCAAGATCTATCTTGAAGTACAGTGCTGTATGAAATATGATAATATCCATTATTCTACAAGGAAAACCAGTTAATACCACTACTATTCAAAATTACTCACCAAATACTGAAGACAGTGACAAAGAAACTGAAGACTTCTACTAATGTCTTTTATCTGAAATTGATCAAGCATGCAATCAAAATGAATTGATAATTACTAGTGATTGGAATGCAAAATTTGGAAACGAAGAGGAAGGATCTTAGGCGGAAAATATGGCTTTGGTGACAGAAACTGTGCTGGAGAATATTCCCAGGGTAAGAATAATGTGGTTTTGCGTTCCACCGCAGCTGGATTTGCCTCACATGATAAGAGTCCTTATTTCCATAGTCTTTTCCCACTGCAGAGTGGTATTGGAATGCAGACAGATAGCTGTCAAAGACTGTCCATAGGCGTTCCTCTAACGTTGAACTCCACCAGGGGAAGAGGCCACGGAAGCCCCGCCCATTTCCAGATACGTTCTTCTGACTCGGGTCCCCGGGACCGCCCTCAGCTGCGACGGTCACGTGACGCGAAGTGTGACGTAGGAGGAAGGAGACGCCATTAGAGGGAGGCGGAGAAGGAGCGTTCCTTGTTTTTTCTCTCGTTCCTGACGTGGTGGTTGGTGCTCTTCATTCTCGGAGTTTCCCAGGGATCTTCTAGGGTTCTCTGAGGAGGGAGCGGGGACCGCGCCCGCTGTCTGCAGGGCCGGTGAGGAAGGAGCTGCGCCGGCCTCTGCCCTGAAGGTGCTGCTGAGGCTTTGGGCAGCTCGGCGAGACTTTAGGGCTCGGGCGGCCGGGAAGCGACGGGATGGCTGCGGCCGGCGGCGGCAGCGGGGCGGCGGCTGGTCGAGCCTACTCGTTCAAGGTGGTGCTTCTGGGGGAAGGCTGTGTGGGGAAGACGTCGCTGGTGTTGCGCTACTGCGAGAACAAGTTTAACGACAAGCACATCACCACTCTGCAGGTGCGGACCCCTGGAGGGCGGGCCGCGGGAGAGGCGGCGGCTGGAGGCCCCGGGGAGCGGGAGGTGGCGCCTCGACAGCCCTGGCCTCTTCCGGGGCTGTGAGGACTTTGCTGCCCTGGCCCCCTAGAGCTGGGCAAGCAGATGTCAGGCCTGTCTCCGGCGCCTTCGGATTGCCTTTCCGTGACTTTGCCTTGGTGACGCGCCGGATGAGGGCAGTTTGTAGGTGTGAGGACAGATTTCTGGAAGGGCCCTGAAAAGTCCCTAGTGTTCCCTTGGTGATTGCGCACGTCGGGGAGTCCCCACCGGTGGGCTAGTTTTTTATTTTTATTTTTTGCCTTTGATGCTCTTCCTCTTGGGCCCTAGGAACCTTCACCCTACATTTGGGAGTCAGCCCTTTTTCTTTCTTTTAGAATTAGGAACTCAGTTGAGGCTTTAATTTTGCCAACTAGTTGGTTTGTAATTTAAGAGCTTGCTGATGACTAAGAATTTATGCAAGTTCCATTGTCTTGTCTTCGAGTAACATTCTGATAGGCAAAACAATTCGTCTCTGGAGGGTTTTTGAAATGACCGCTTGCTGGTGCGGATTACGCAGTTTGATTGCTGCCTGCGCGGGTCTGACTGGTGGATCACGCATTCTGAGAGGTCGGTGGACTCACATGGAAACGTCATGGTAATGCCAGCCAGTTGGTCCTCATAATAAATTTTAGTTAATGGTAGTTCTTGCATTTATTTCATTTACCTGTCGTGTAGGGCCGGCTTTCTTTTGCAGTTACATTATAGTTAGAAAAGTGTTAAAATATAATCAATAATTGGTAGTGAAGGCAGGCCTTTGAGGGAGTTGTAATCCCCGCCCCCCAAATCAGCTTGCACGTGTTAGAAGGAAAGGCCGACTACTTCAATTTTATTTGTTTAATCACAGGCAGGAAAGTCTGATGTACATTTAAGCTTAACTGTTTTAGGTTCATATCTCACCTCCATCATTTTAACTAGCTGCTTGATGTTGATCGTGTTACTTAACCACTCTGTGCTTGAGTATTTTTTATTAAAGTGAGGGTAATAATAATAATACTTAGCTGATAGGACAGTTGTCAAGATAAGTATGTATGAAAGCACCTAGGACTTGACCCAGTGTTAGTTCTCTGTCTTTATTGTTACTATTAAGTGTGCAATAGATCGTCATTAGTGATTGTATGGTGTGCAAGAACCTGGACGTTAATAGAATGCCCAGTCTCCTAATTGTGACATTTGATGTTTGGTGCTATTATTAAACTACTGAGTCTAGAATTTTCAAAGATGCTCAGGTTCTGATTCCATGTTCTATTTTTATGATTATATAAAGTATAGTCTCAAAAGTAACTGCAGACATTCCCCCCCTTAAATTCTTGTAAAAGAGCCCTTAGGAAATTCTAATTGTTGTTAAATGATGTGAATCGGTTCCGACTCATAGCGACTCAGTATAGGGTTTCTGACGAATGTCACTAGTGAGACCCTTGTGTTTTGGATTAAGGAAATTTGTTGTGTAAATAAGGTAATAATAGCTAATGTTTAGTGAGGTCTTACTGTACTAAGTAAGTACTTTTTGCAACAGTCTAGGAGGTGGATAGTTTTGTTAGCCCTGTAATAAAGACGAAACATAAACATACTTAGTTAATTGCTGGCAGTAATAATGCTACAAGTCTTGGTGATTTAAGTGGTCCAAGCTTAGATACCCCAGGTGTGATTTCAGACCAAGAACAATTAATTCACACTATCTCTGGGTATTGGTACCCTGTTAGCATTTTCCTCTGTGCTACAGATTTAAGATAAAAAGAAAACATTGTAACTGAGTTAATTTTTAAAATGGTAATTTAGCTTTTCAACCTAAAAATTATGCCTTCATTGTAACTTTCTAAAACATCCTGTAAACTAAAAGCACACTAAAGAATACAAAAAACGTCTGAGAGAAGCCACTGCAGTCTTCCTGAAAGAAAGTAAAGTTGTGGCTGTTGTTAAATGCTGTCAAGTCAGTTCCAACTCATAGTGACCCTGTGTAAGATTTCTGAGAAGTAGCTGGTGAGCTTGAACAGCCGGCCTTGCAGTTCAAACCAACTTTGCAGTCCAGTGCGTTAATCCGCTGTGCCAGGACTCCATGGTAGGTCTCTAGTATTCGAAGCAAATAGTCCTAATTAAAAAATTCATATATCATCACAAACAATGTCTGGATTATACAAGGGGGCTTCAAACATTTCATGGGAACATAGAATGAAAAGATAAAGAAATCTTTTCACAAACTTTTGAAGTCCCCTTGTGTTACAGAATTGTGGATTTTGTAGTACACTAATGTATTGAAACAGTTCTACATCTAAATTTTCTCTCTCACATATTTCATCTCATCTTTCTTATCCTTTTTTTTTTTTTTTTAAAAGGATTGACTAATAAGCCAACTCTTATGTTTTTAATTTCCAAATGGAGGGGAAATGTGTTTCTGTATCATGGATCAGAAAATACAGTCAACAAAACTTTGTAAAATACACTGTTTTGAAAAGTGTATTCTCATGTGTTTTTATTTTAGAATTTTAGTTCTGACTGAAAATTGAAATCGTTTATAGTTCACTGCTTTAGTCTTTTACTTACCATTCCAGTCAATTGATTGTTCATTTTTGCTTGAACGTTTTGGAGTGAGATGAGTTAATACAGGATATGGAAAATTCCCTATGTCCTATGGTGACCCATTTCATTTTCAGACAGGTGTCATTTAAAATACATTTTTACACCTGTAAAGAAAGTCACACTCTGTTTCTCTGTCGTTTGTAGTTCTAGTTCTGCCTTCTGAATCTTGGTCTCATATGACATATCTTCTGATAGTCAAAGATAGCTATCACATCCACTTGAGTCTTGTCTTGGGTAAACAGCCCTTGTTCCTTTTAATTGGACTTTTTTTCTGACATTTTAAATTCTTTCATCATTTTGATCTCTTTTCTAGACACTATTATTTAATTGTTTTTCTTTCCTTAAAAGTTTGATACACTGTAGAAATGATTCCAAGTGTGTTTTGAATAGAACAGAGAAGTGTAGGCTATCATTTCTATTGAGAATCATTTTCTAATGATGAATCTACAAGTTTTTATGAGCTTTTGTGACAGCAAATTACTCAATCGAGTCAGCTTCCTCATCTGTAAAATGAAGCTTATAAAAGTAATCCACCTCATAGGCGTAAGAAGTACTTAGTCCTAAAAGATTGTATGAGTTGTCACATCAATTAATGTTGGGCTTACTGTCAAAGAAAATATCTTAGTCTTAATTTCTTTACAAAAGTTACATTACTCAGATTCTCTGATTTTGTAGTTTTTTGTTTATTTTTCTCCCTAATGTTTTTGACCCTTTAAACTTGACCTTGCTCCAACAGTTAAGTCTGGTAATGTGCTTTTAAATGTTGATTTTATAATTCAAGAAGAATTGATAGAGCTCCTTTGAGTCATGCACTGGGTTGGATTCTTGGCATGCAAAGAAGAAGGCGTGATCCCTATTGTCTGGATTAACTACCCATTTTAACTTTGTCTCCTATGAATTTGGTTGTATTGCCCTCAAGTATTTTCAGCAGGTTATTAATAAAGATGTTAAAAGAAAGGGGGAGAGGGCCAAATATAGTGCTCTGCAGCAAGTGGCACTATAGTCCACATCATGATCAGAGGTGTAGAATTCTGCAGGCGAGCAGTTTTAGGGGGAGGCTTTTTCAGACTACCTATGAACTACAATTCTCTCTCCGCTTTCCCCTTGAGTGAAAAGTACAGTTATTAATAGGGTGTTATGCATACTAATCAAGAGAAAGATGAGACTTTCTGCTCTCAAAAAGATTTTTAAAAGCCTCGGAAACCCTATACAGGGTCTCTATGAGTGTGGAACCAACTCCAAGGCACTTAACAACAACAGCAATACATATTAATGGAGTCCTGGTGTGGCTCTGTAAGGTTAAGTACTGGACCAGTAACCACAGGCTGGCAGTTCTAATCCACCAGCCACTCTTTGGAAGCAGCCCTATATGGGATTGCTATGAGTCTGAACCGACTTGACAGCATTTAATTACAATGTGCATATCAAGTGGAAGCAGAAAACTCTTTAAGACTGACTTAATGGTGTGGTGCTATGGGTTAATGCCCTGGACTGCAAAGTTGGTTTTAACCGCAAGGTTGGTGGTTCAGGCTCACCAGCTGCTCCTTGTAAACCCTATACTAGGTTGCTATTTGTTGGAACTAACTCAGTGGCACTTACCAACAACAAGAACACTATGGGCCATTAAAGAGCTCTGGTAGCGTAGTGGTTATGAGTCAGGCTGCTAACCTCAAGGTCAGTAGTTTGAAACTACCAGCAATTCTG